GGTAAGTGTTCGCTGGAAGAGGGGGAGACAGTTTTCTCTAAGAGTAAGTATTTCATATTCCACTGGAAGATCACACATTCAAGAATATTTGGGGATTAGAAACTGATGGGTTTCTCTTTTTTGTTTGCTTCAATTTTGAACACAAAGTTGGGTAGGTAAGTGGTGGTAAATCTGGAAAGACTTGGATGATAGACATTATCAAAACATAATATATAAATCAAAGGGAACTTAGAAAGAGACTGACTTCCACCAGGACCTGCCTGAACTGCCACTTCCAGAGACCCCTTCTGTGCAGTGTCCAGCGTCTCCAACCAGCCACATCCTTCTCCAGGGTCTAACTTAGAATGTGTCCTCGACCCTTCCCATTCACTCCTTCTCCCAAAACCAAAAGATCTAGGCTTGGCCCCATATTCAGTGCTTTGGCCTAATCTGGCACCCCTGTCTGGCTGTACTACAACCAGCCTCTAGGCTTCTGCCACACTCTCCTTACCTACCCATCAATCCACAGGTCCCCTTCATACCACTTCCAATCTTCCCAATAGGCTCTATCTATGCCCATTTTCCAAGCTTGGATCAGGAGATACAACCTGCGTACCAACCCAGTCCCCTCCATCTACCTGACTTTATTCTACCCAAGCCATTTCCAACCTCTGGACATAATCCACCCACATATCCTATCAGCTCCAATATGCTCTGTCCATCTCAAACTTAGAACCTGCAAAAAATTCCAGATCTCACCACAAGAATACCAACAATATCAAAGATCAAGCTGGTTTCTTCTCTCCAACACTAACCAGTCTTGTAGAAATCCAGTGAGAAGTACATAGATGAATTCTAGGACACAGATTTAGAAGAACAGTCATAAACTTCATCAAAGAATTTCAAGGAATTCAAAAAATACATAAAGAAATGGCTCAATGAGATTAAAGAAAAGGAGCTTAAGGAGAATAAACACCCAAGTGATAGCCAAGAAAATACAAATGTAAGGCTCATGGAAACAATGAAGACAATGTAGGACTTGAGAACAGAATTAAATTGGGAGAAGGAAGTATTAAAAAAGATGTAAGCTGGAATGAAGATGGAACTGGAAAACCTATTTACTTAACTAGAAAACTCAAAGGAAAGCTTAACAAGTAGAATCAAATAGAAGATATATTATCAGGACTCAGAGATAAAGTAGAGGATCTATACTAAATAAACAATGTATAGGAAAAGTTTTTAAAATACAGGGGGAAAAACTTTCAAATTATAAGCAAAGATGAGGAAGAAGTATCCCAAGTCAATGGCAGAAAGACAAACCTACCCATCTTCCTAGAAATACACAGAACACCAAATAGAGCAGACCACAAAAGAAAATCCCCAAGGCATGCATATCATTGCAGAAACATAAGTATACATAAGAAAGAAAGCATATCATAACGTTCAAAAGTTAAAATGAGAGTTGCATATAAGAAAACCCATCAGAATAACAGAAGATGTCTCAGTGGTAACACTGAAAGCCAGAAGGGCCTGGAGCAATGCATTCCAAATCCTAAAAGACTATGAAGGCCAGCCTGCACTAACATAGCTTGCAAAACTCTCTGCAATAAGTAAAGGAGAAAAAAATCTTTCTACAATATAAACAAAACCTACAGAAAATGCAGGAACCAATATTTGGGGGTAAAGAGAGAAACAAGCATAGCAGAGAGACTGTGAAAAAACAAAAAAGCCATAATTGTTAAATCACACAAGTCCTACCACCAGTAATAATACCCAAAATAAACAACACAATGCCTGTACCAAAAAAGACACAAACTTTAAATATCAATAAACCCAATTCTCTAATCAAACAATGCAGGCTGGATGGATGGATTAATTTACATCCATCTATCTGCTGTCTACACAAAACTCATATTAGTTTTAAATGGTCAAAACCTTAGAATAAAAATATGGGCAAATGAACTCTAACCCAATGACAGCAGAAAAATAAAGCATCTTCAACTAATGATGCTAGAAAAACTGGATTAGACTATCACGGTATTCCTTACATTAGACCCATATCTATCACCTTGCATAGAAACTAACTCCAAATGAATGGTTCAAAGAACTAATCTTGAAACACTGAAACTGCTAAAAGGAAATCTAGGCAGTACTCTACTTTATATAGGTGTACTGAATAACTTGGTGAATAGGACTGCATTTGCCTAAGAATTAAGGCCAATAATCGATGAATGGAACATCATGAATCTAAAAAGCTTCTGCACAGTTAAAGAAACAAACAAGTGGGTGAAGATGAAGTTCACGAAATATGAGAGAATTTTTGTCAGCTATACATCTGCCAGAGTATTACTATCCAGAATATATAAAGAACTCAAAAATCAAAAGAATTAAAATAATAGCAAAAAAAAATGACCTTTTCAAAAACTGGGCCTGGGATCTTGGGACATCAAGTCTCACAGAAAGTGACAGCATGTTCCATATCTTTCATTTGACACACTGTTTGTACAGTCATGAACAGGAGATACTCTAAGTAGGGTCAGCATCAAAAGCGTGCTGGTATTATGTGTGAAATATGTCACAAGAAGCTTCATTCTTATATGAACATAAAGTCAAGGAGCCAGTAGAGGAGAATCACACCTAAGTGAGATGGCTTCTTTTTAAGGGTTTAGCAAAATCTTTAAGTTACAGTGTAAAATGCCTTATTATAATGTCTTTTAATATTTAATAATTATATATGTGTGTGTGAGAGAGAGAGAGGGCGTGAGTGTGTGTTGTTTGTATGCTTATGGAGACCAGAAGACTGAGGCAGAACATCTAGAGTTGCAGTTGTTGTGACTCACCCAACAAAAATGTGGATGCTGATAACTACACTGGGTCTTCTGAAAGAGCATCAAGTGCTATTAATTGCCTTATCATCGCTCCTGCCAATGTTTCTACTTTCTTTAAATTCAGTGAGAAACATTGTATATCCAGATTTATTTTTATTGCTCTATTGCATCCAAGAGACAAGTCTCTTTGATAGAAAAGTAATGATAACCCAGAACCAATTAAAGCACAGATATATCTGACTATGATCTTTATTACTTTTAAGTATGTTAGGTTCACAAGAGCAATCTCTAGATGTATACTTCATAATATGATATTACACTCTCCATTTCTAATGTTTCAGAGAAAATGGTCAGGATTTGTACTTAGAAATTGTTTGGGGGTTTTGTTTGCTTGAATATTTTTTTTCTTTATGCTTCTAAGCTAACAAAGCTTTTGTAAATAATCTTTCCTCTAAAAAAGAAAACAGATTTCTGCTGATACCATTCACCACTTTGGAACACAGTATTGTGTGACCCTGCAGAAATAACTATTTTAAATGCCAGATTGTGTCCAAAGTTGATATGCAAATCCCCTGGTAGGGCTCTCATTGGGGTTAGAAGAGAAAGATTATTGTGTGGATACTTCTGACCCAATTCAGTATTCATTCTCAGCTCCATAAAATCAAAGAATTATTTTTTTCTTCTAGTTTCTCTCATTTCCTGGTCATTCCAATCCCTCAACACACAAACAAAAATACAAGGGATGAGGTACTTTAGTGTCTGATACTAATCAGTAACAAAGATTCTCTCTCTCTCTCTCTTTCTCTCTCTCTCTCTCTCTGTCACACACACACACACGCACACACACACAAACACAGACATGCACGCAGGAGGGCGCGCAAGTGTGTGCACACAAACACTCTTTGATACAGTCTTCAAAGTTATAAAATGTATTACTAACTCAGTGGTAGTATGTCATTTCCCTTCCCAACTCGCCAGAAAGCTACAAGGTCCTAAAAGTTATAGTTCCTTCCTGTAGAGAGTGGATGAAGTACTGAGTCAATGTGAATTACTGACATGAGCATGGCCATGTCACCCCTGCCTCAGACTCATGGGAATGATGACATCTTCTAAAGTTTAACTGAGGGTAATGGTAAGAGCTTTCCCTGTTCTGAATGTGGATGTTGATAAATGGTTGACTCTGAGCTGAAAACAGAACATTCGAAAAGTACCAAATGCAGCTTCAATCAGGGAGAACTACATGATCATGACCCCCAGCAGAGACACCTCTACAAGAGAGACTAACTAACCTGCCTCCTCATCATGCTGTATATAACATTCTGAATCTCCTGCCACCCTCAGTCAGGATTCTAGGACCCAGCTGCGTAGGTCACATTATGAGAGCAGCAAGTCCCCACTGGATAGAACATGACCTGAGTGAGGACATTCAAACCTGGTACACATTCAAATCCTAACCCCTTTCAGAAGCAGCACTATCGAGGTTCTCTGAGGACCTCACGTCTAGCCTCTCAGAGCAAGAGTTCTCAATCTGTGGGTCACAAACCTTTGGAAGTCACACATTAGCTATCTGCATATCAGATATTTACATTATGATTCATAACAGCAGCAAAACTATGATTGTGATGTATCAATGAACTGATTTTATGATTGGGGGTCACCACAACGTAAGGAACTATATTAGAGGGCCGCAGCATTAGGAAGGTTGAGAAATGCTGGGTAGAACCTCTATGATTCCCATTGGAAATCCCAAGTTCTTCAGGTTCAATTCTCTCAAGAAACTGATGAAGATATGCTTTAGAAATTCACACTTAGACTAACCTCCCTTCAGATCTAAACACTTTTCTAGCTTTGAGAATATATTCCTCTCTCTCAGCAGGTTCAAACATCTACTTTCCATCTGTAATTTGGAAAAAATCGAAATTTCTCTGCTTATTTCATAAAATCCTTGTGAGAGTCAAACTATATTACACTTGAAAATGACAAAGTGATATATATGAAAAGTAATAAAATTATTTTTCTCCTATTATTCAAATACAAACTCAAGAAACAAGAACATTCACATTTTGTACACTTTCCATGATACAGAAAAATTAGAAGCATCACAGACTGTAGAAGAAAATGTAACCACTGTGTTCTGATATAGAAAGTAATCATAGCACTGAAATTTGGGACAGGTATACCGTCCATGCTCACCTGTTTCCGAAAGCAATTTTGTGGCTTCCAGCACCTTTTCAGTATATACCCCAGCTTCATAGTTCTCCATCTCTGCATTGATGATGTGAATGACCCGGGCTGCCCGGCCACGTATGGCCCCAGCTGTTCGGTCCAGTGTGTCCACATCCCCCTCTTGGAGGGCAATCACACATTTGTTCACATCCTCCAAGATGTGATTTTCTGTGAAGAGGACACACACACATTTATATATATAAATATATAACCTTGTACTATTCACAATCCAATGACTAACCAAAAATATATTTCAACAGTCCCCACAAGTCCTCACCTTGCAGATCCAACCACATAACTAATGACATGAAATCGTATTTAAAGGGCATCACTTATACATACACTAGTAGTTGTAAAACCTGAGCACCAGCAGGAGGGTTTATTACATGAATGCTTTGGGGAAATTTTAAGAGTTTCTGACTCAGTAGCTGCACTGGTGAGTTTTTGCTTACAGCAAGTGGGTATAGAGAGCCTAGAGGGAGGTGTTGTCTCCATTGGAATGGTCGGTGAACACTTTGTGGTGCATTTTTTTTTTTTCTTTTAATGATGGTTGATGTGGGAGGGCCCAACCTACCTTGGGCAGGTGGTCCTGGGTTATATAAGAAAGTAGACAAAACAAGCCATGGCAAGCAAGCATGAAGTTTTCTTCACAGGCTCTGCTTGTGTTCCTGCTTCCAGGTCCCTACCTTGAATGCCTGCCCTGACCTCCCAGTAAGGGCGAACTGGAATCAGGATTCGTTAGCCAAATGAATCCTTTCCTCTCCAAGATGTATTTGGCTTAATGTTGTATCCCAGGAATAGAAAGTCAAACCAAGATAGTAGCTTTGTGGTGAAACCTAAGAAAGTGAGTCTCAAAGAAATTCCCAGGGGATGCTAATTACGCTGGTGTGAGGAACCCCATAGTTTGAGACCTATGATGAAAAGGTAATCCCTTATTTTGTTTCAAAGACTGAAACTTCTTGCCCAGGGAAGGTCTTTTAAGCATTGTCATGAGAGTGGCTGGAGGGATGACTCAGCAGTTAAGTGTGGTCACTGCTCTTGAAGTGAGCCCAGATTTAGTTCAGAGAACCTATGTTAAATGGTTCACAACCATCAGTAACTCCAATTCCAGTAAATCCAGCACCCTTTTCTGGCCTTTGCAGGCACCTGCATATTCATGGTGCACATATCTGCACTCAGGCACATGTATGTCCACATAAAATGAAAATGAAGGTGAGGAGTTATAACAGCCAACAAAAAAAAAAAAAAAAAAGTCAATCTGACCTGAAAATACTATCTCTACCTAAAAAGACCTGAAGTTTTAGTTGCAAGAATACTTAATCACCGTCTGTGTCATCCGATTACAGTGAAGGCAAGCACTATTCTAATCTCAAGGACCACAGTAGGGGACGAGCAAATGGGAGAACGGCCCACTGTATTGCTGTAGAGAAACACACACCCTCACAGTAGAGCAAGTGAGCTGTCTTTCATTTCCATGTCCAATGTTACATTGTAATTATGTCTTTTGAGAGTTTTAAAAGCACAATTCTAAAGCAATTCTTAAAAGTTCAGTGCTCCAAGGAAAATAACTTTAAGCTGAAAATTACACACAGGCACATATGCAACGATCTCCGGAGTGACTGAATGCTCATGCCCAGTGTATTGAAATTCCAAGCATAAATTTAAGTAGTTCGGTATTCTTATGCTTTAATTTACATCTAAAACTAGGAAGGGTCAGAGAGATGTCTCAGCTTGTTTAAATTACTTCCCGCCAAGCCTGATGATGACCTTAGTTCAAAACCTGAAATCCGCAAGATGGAAGGAGGGAATTGACTCCTGCAAATCGTGCTCCAATCCCCTCAAGTTTACCTTGGAACATGCACGTGTGCGTGTGCATGCACACGCACGCACACGCACGTGCACACAGACACACACACACAAACACACACATAAACACATACACACACACACTAAATAAATAAATAAATAAGGGTTTATAGAGTCTGTAGAAAGCAGATATGTAAAATTGTTTAAAGACAGTTTGTATTTTAAAATTTTCATTTATTTATTTGTGGTACTAAAGATTGAACTTCGAGCATTACCCATTGCTCAGCAAGTGCTCAATTTCTAACCTTTATTTGCAAGCACTTACTTTTAGTTCTCAATTTTTTTTAAAGGCTTATTTACTTATTATGTATACCGTATTCTTCCTGCATGTACACCTGCACACAAGAAGAGGGCACCAGATCTCATTACAGATGGTTTTGAGCCACCATTGCGAATCGAACTTGGGACCGCTTGAAGGACAGCCAGTGCTCTTAACCTTTGAGCCATCTGTCCAGCCCCTTTAGCTCTCAATTTTGGTAAAAGGTTTCACTAAGTTCATCATGATGGTCTTGAACTTACATTGTGGCCAAGACAGATCTAGAACTCAGGACCTTCCTGCCTTAGTCTCCTAAGAACTGGGATCATCTGCCTGTACTTCCAGGCATGGACGAAGTCATCACATTGTCAGAGTTCCGACATTAAGAAATAAGGACTTTAGGAAGTGACCCAGTGGTGACAGCTGTGTCCAGGTGATGGAATTACGTCCCTTCTAAGCGACATGCTGGAAAGATCCCTCTCCCCTTCCACAGTATAGAATTTCATTGAATTCAGTCGTCTATCAGAAGGCAGCTCTCCCAAGATACCTTCCTCTTAGTTTCAGCATCCAACAGTGTGAGAAACAGATTTCTATTATTAATAAGCAACCTGGTTCATAATGCTGTTTTAGCACTGAGCAGACTAAGTAAGACACACACACACACACACACAGACACACACTCATGCTTTAAATAGAACTAGCTTGTCTATTGTCTTAAGTAATCTGCTAACTTTATAAAATTAGGGCAAACAAATCCATTGACTAGTAGAAGGGTTAAATTATTAGCTGTTTACAAAATTGCTATGGTTATTTCTGATGTCTAAGTTCCTATAGGAGGCAAATTGAAAAAGAGTATCTGGCAAATCCTAGGCTCCATTGGAGATTTCTCCTAGTTTCTTTAAACCAAGCACTCAGCACACATGGACATGCAGAGCCAGTCACTGTCCCAGCACCCCTCCCCCACTCCTGCAAACCAAGAAGCCACTTGCTGTTGACACCTGCTGGCAAAGAGAAAACCAGTTTACTCCAACAACATGTCACTGGGCATGTCAAACACCTTCCAGAGAGGGCTCCATGACCAGAAGTATTCGGCCAACACAAAATAGACTCCATGTTTTATGCTTGTACAGGAGACCAGATATTTGTTTCATTTGTTTGGGCATTTTTTTGTCTATTTTTGTTTGTTTGTTTTTACTTTTGTCTTTTTTGTTTGTTTGTTTTTGAGTGAAAGAAGGAGTCCATTAAGTTGGCGAGAGGAAAATAGGAGAGCTGGGGCTGTGAGGGCAACATATTGAAAATATATTGTATGAAAGAATATTGATAAAGATAATTTTAATAAAAATAATCATTGGAGATAGGTGTATGTTCTGAAGTAGGAGACTACTTCAGAAACTGATAGGTATATTCTGCCATTCACCAAACAACATTAATTTCAATCTCATATCATATTTCCACACTGAAATCATTCTGTTTCTTTTTCGGTTTATTAAATTTATTATTAGTATAGTGTCTGGGAAGGAAATGAAGCTACAGCATGTGTGTAGAAGGCAGAGGACAACTCTGTGGAGTCATTCTCTCCTTCCACACTTGCGTGGGTCAAACTCAGCTCTCCTGCTCAGCCATCCTGCCTGTCCTAAGGTTTTGATTTCCACAGTTTCTGGTTCTTTAATTTCAACTATATGTTAGAATGGATAAACAATAAAGGGATCAATAAGGACTGACCAGTATTCATCTTTCTTAAACTTAACAAAAGCAAACTTTTATAATGCTGATATTTTCTTGAGTGAAACAGCAAAGCAACGTTATGAAAATACATCTGTGGGAAGCTTTTATTGTTTCTTGTGTTTTCCCTTCTTCTGACCTCTTACTAAAGAATTCCTGGTAACCATCCCTTCCTGGGATGCAGAGGGCATCCTTTGAACTCACCTGAGCAGGAAAGGGCTTACTCAAATGAAACTGTAGGGTATTTTAAATACAGAAAGCTGATGCCACAAACTTTCTTTCGAGCAGATGGATTCCTTGGGATAATCACACACTGTCCTGGCCCCTAAAAGGGAGCTTCTGAGAGGGGCTTCCTGGATAAAACATGTGTTCACACTTACGTACTGTTGAAAATTACATGGCTGTGTAAGAACAGGCTAGCTGTTGTTTATCTGTGCAATTGGAAAAGATGGAATTTTGCAACAGACTGTAAAGCAGTGAAGGCTGTTAATTATGTTGCTAATGTCTCTGGAACTAATACTTTTACAAAAAAATTTAAAAAGTCTAAAAAGTGCATTTATGATCCAATAAATTATATTGCTATCAAAGATTTTAAAATAATAATCTTAATTGTTTGCCAAACTGGGAAGTTGCATTTAATGGATTCAATCCAAGAAGAAAAAATGTCATACTGTTATAAGTAAATCTTTGCCCATTTGAAGGAAAGCAGCTTAGCTTAGTCAGCAAGATCACCTAGATTACTAGTTAACAAAATGAGTATAATTAATACTTTACCTAACCTCACATTTACTATATAACTTATTTTTCATTTTTTGAGATAGAGTCTCTCTATGTAGCCCTGGCTGATCTGTAACTCACTGTGTAACCTAGGTGGATCACAAAGATCCACCTGTCTCTGCTTATCACGGGTAGGATTAGAGGTGCATACTATTAGTATGGATTTATGTGTTTAAAAATGTTAAGATAGTGTGTTCAGCTACTCTCAACCTTCCTCAAGAGTGGTAGGCCAAGATGCCCATTCAGGGAATAGTTCTATTGTTCACTTTTATCCTAAAATATTTTGAAAAGAAATAACCCCTGAAGGAAGCTAAAAAATACTTGTTCTGAGCAGAGGTGAAAGAGTTAATAAGGCATGTGTGTTTGGCAGGTGGTGGCTGTACCAATTGCCAAGCCTGGTTTGTAAACACCAGAAAATGTGTTTGCAACAAGTTGCATGACATACTCTCTTGGGTTTTTGCAACTTTGATCTTTCAGAAAAGAAGAAATTTTGCTACTTAACAAAGCAAAATCAATGACAACCAAAAAAAAAAAAAAAAAAAAAAAAAAAAAAAAAAAAACAAAAAACAAAAAACAAAAAACAAAAAAATCCTGTGAACCACAAAGCTTATTTTGAAGTTCTTATTCAAAACAAGCTACAGAATGAATATCTTCAAAATAAAATTCAGAATCCCAGAGTTTTGTTTGTTTATTTTAGGCTTTTAATAGGAGGACGTAGACAGAATGACAAACAAAACAAAAGTCTTGAACGTTCTGGGATTAATGGCTTTTTACCAATCTTAGCTGTCCACAATTTTGTGAGCCAAACCTAAGAATTAAACTGTCACACAGTTAATGCCAAGGCGTTCATTCTAAAGAACTATTAAAAATGGTACTTTTCCCCAGTGAGAAAGTTTGGAATGTTCTAGTACAGCCATTTCAGATTTTTATGAGTTTAGGCCACAATAGAATATGTTTGTGCTTCTGTGATGGTTAATCGCCAACATCATTGGTCTCCAAATTTGTAGTGTTTCACATGAACAAATTATACATTCAGATGTATGAATTCAGTTTGTGTTGGGTGAAAGAGGAAAAACTATAGTCATTCAAAATAAAGATGTGCATGTACGTGTGGATGTATGCATATGTACATGTATGTGTATGTATGTGTTGATGTGTGTGTGTGTGTGCATTAAGGTATATATGTATGTGTGTCTCTGTGTGAATATGCAAGTTAAATACATTTGTTTGAGTATGTGTATGAGCATGGCTGTGTATGTGAGTGTGTGTATTGCTTTTTATATAGAATTTCCTATCAGAATACTCCCTTAAGAATAAACGAAGACACAAAATGCCTTTGATATAATTCTGAATTATCTCCTAGGCTAAAGCTGCAATTTACCAATGCAAATGGAGAGGAGATGGGAAGTAGTTTCCCAAACTATCTGTCTGTGTCCGAAGCCTATCGGCAAGAACAGAGTGGGTCGTGTGTATTTGTCAAGCTCTGTCTACAGAAAGGTGCGGGCTGCCTGATTGTAGACTCCACAGGCATGCTCCAGCAGGCTCTGCCAACCTGGCTCCCTGACAGTGCCTGTTTATTTTCCTGTCGTGGCATGCGGCAGCTTCTGTACCACTAGGGTTGGACCGCACGGTGTTATCAGCAGGAGCCAAAGCTTTTTCTTGTTCGAAGTAATAATGAGATGCACAAAGGAATGGCAGGAAGAAAGGTTGCAAGGAGGCAGGCCTCGGGGGAAGAAAATTAAGAAAAGCTTGTGCTATTCACAAAGACGAGATAAGACAACCCCACCCCACCCCCCCCCCAAAAAAAGCCTTGCTTCTATCACCCTTAGACAATTTTGGACATATATTTGAAGAAAAGGACAAGCTGGGGGAACTTTTGGGTTTTAAATGATTCCTCCCTGGGCAGGGTATTTGGAGAAATACTGTCTACCGATACAAAGGCAGTTCACAGGCAGTCTTCCAGGAGGCCTCACGATTGTGGTTCATGAGCTGAGAATGCGTGGGAAATCTCCTGCCTCTTACTGGGAGTCATTCTTAGGAAAAAAAAAAAAAAAAAAAAAAAACTAGAGAGTAACTAGTAACCAAAGCCAACATTAGTGGCTGGCTACCTTTCCATTCACTAGCACTTAATTCTTCAATTGTCAACAACTCTCAGCACATTAGATGAGGCATGTGTGGACAGTGACATTTTTCAATGTTAAGGTTCAACCATCAAAAAACAAAGCTCCAGGGACAGCAACATACTGTGTTCTTTTATCAGTCAAGCCCCTAGAAAGGGAACTATTTTAAATAAACAGCTACTTTAAAATATCATATAAATCCAAGCACTTAAGAAATGAAAATCAAGACAAGCTTATGAAGACGTATGAGATTTGAATCTTGAATGAAAATCCCAGAGCTGGAAAAGCATACAAGAAAGAAAGGAATTTCCATTCTTCACTGATTTATTGAGAACACTGTATATTTTCTGAAAAGAGGAGAGTCTGGATTTTAATGACATTTTCTCAGAGTTGTGTGACCACCTAGATAACTTACTTTTTCTCAAAAGAACACTACGAAATATTTATACTTACTTTATAGAATTTTGGTAAGAGTTAAAGAAAACAGGTAAATTATAGACTCTGAGCATGTGTTAGCTTGTTGTCCCATCTGCCTTGTCTTATTCTCCATCAAGCAAGCTTGGCTTTTCGATTGCCCATTCGATCTATAGCTCTATAGACTACACAGCTCCCAGACAATCCTTTAACACAGCCTGCAGTGGGAGTTCAGTTTCTTCCTGAAGCATAAAGTCTGCAAGAAGGGAAAATCCCCGAGCACAAGCACAGCAGCCTCTGCCGGAATCATCTCCACAGCTGCACTCACAGGTCCTGGTGATTTGCCTGTCATCAATAGTGACAGAATTGCCTATCTCAGGACTCAGACCTACCCTCCTCCCCTGGAAGCAGGTCAAGTTTTAGCAAGTGCTGTATGAGCTGCTGGGTATGAGTTCTATACGCCCATTCAATTGGAATTTTCAAGGACTACTGGTTGTTTTAACAATTTATAATCAAGGATTACGTTTTTCGTGACCTCTTCCCCATTAAAACCCTTCCAGATAAACTGAAGCTAAACATAGTTGGTCCAAAAGCTCTCTGGGAAAATGCCCACTTGCTGGCAGGGAGGCAAATCTTAAAATGGCACTGATGATGTCCATTGAAACACAGAATGATTTCATCATCGTCAGGATTTTCCAGCCTGCTCCTGCCTGGTTATGGACACAGAGAAGAGAGCAATTAGAGCAGTGAGGGCCTCTGTGTTCTTTCAGGGCATTCACTATTCATCTTCACAAGTACATAGGCAGAGCTGTGTGACTTACTGCATTCATTGGGAGGCTAGTAAGTCTACCTGTCTCAACACAAACTTTCACTTGCAAAAATTTCTGTTCTACTTTCTATTTCTGTTACTATGATTAGAGATCCCGACAAAAGCAGCTTGGGAACAGAGGGACTTACTTCAGATTACAGGTCCAGGTTACACCTCATCCTTGTGGGGAAGGCGAGGCAGGAGTGCATTGAACTAGTCACAATCACCAACCAGGAGCAGAGGGAAATGGATACACACATGCTGACTTGATGGAGTTTCTCACTCTTACACAGTACCGCATAAGGAATCGTGCCACCCACAGTGGGCTGGGCATTTCCACATCAATTAATTTAAGACAGCTCCCCAAAGACATGCCCACAGGACTACTGAATATAGTCAACCCCTCATAGAGATGCTTTCCAGGTAATTTCAGATTTTAGCATATAGCCAACTAGAATTTCTTCACAAAGCCATGCTAGAATAAGTGATTGTCTATTTTAAGGCATAAGTCTAGCGAATTAACCAATCCAAGTAGATGGGCAATTTAGATGTATTGAAAATCCATCCTGCTTAAGAAAAAAATTGAAAATCTACAATGGACTGTAAGCTTCTTTGTTGCCATCTGCTCAGGTTCTGAGATCGTCATCAGAAAGTTACAGGTTTTCCCTCATATGCCCTGACTCAGTATATCAATATATTGATTGTTTTCAAGAGGGTATTGTAATCACATCTGCTGGGTTGACTGAAAACTCAAAGGCCAAAGAGAGGTCTTGAATCATAAGCCCCTATCGTTGCTCAGAAATTTCTTATCTTGTTAGCTTCCTCCATCTCTCAGCTAAGGGGCCTGCAGGTGACTACCTGAGACAGAGAGGAAGTCATCCACTGATGTGATGTCATCCACAGCCTCAGTCAGCACCCTGACCTGCTTTTCCCACTGGTCTTTGAAGACATCCATGTTGTCCTGAGCAACTTTGCTCTGTGGCCGGGCAGCCAGAGTGAGGGCAGCATTGATGACCTGTTGGTTAGGAAAACACAGGGACATGATGATCACATTCTTCGGAAGGGAGAGTAGCAGGTCAAAGCACAGGTTGGAACCCCAGACCTTGAAATTACTGCAGAGAAATGAGTTGTCGGTACTCAGCCCAATCAGAAACACAAACGATAAAGGAAGTTATAAACCAGCATTACTTTTGCTGCTTCTTTTGAAGATATAGTAATTAGCCTTGGGCTTCAAAGACGTATTTGCTGGACAAGTCTAATTTTCTTAGCACAGATGTGCGCAAAATATATCACTTGCTTTCTGCACGCAGAAGCCTATAATTTACTTATTGAGATAAAGTAAATAGATTCAGAACGTTTAAACCACAACCCCAAATAAGCAGACTGAAGTCAATATGAGTGGAAATGATGATAATTGCCACTGCAATCCTGAATACACTGAGTGGTTGGAAGTTCTTTTTGAGAAAGGTACAACCTGAAACTCTTCTGGATTGACAGTTAATATATTCCAATTAGATAATAATGGAGCTGAAAGTGGCTGAGGAGATGGCATGGTGGGTAAAGCGATTTCCACGGGGGGAAAAAGCCAGGAGTGGCAGCACATAACTATAAGTTGGCCTGGCAGGGTGCAGCAGAAAGTGGATTTCTGAAGCACAATGATTAGCGGCCTAGCCAAATACATGACCTCCAGATCTACTAAGAGACACTTGGTAAAAATACATAATGATAATGTAGAGAATAATATAAGTGGACCTCTGGCCTCCACATGCATGTATACCTACCTGCAGGCTACAGTGTAACGGGTGAGGAGTACACAACCACACTGAGAGACAGACCGACAGACAGACAGACAGACAGACAGACAGAGAAGAAGGAGGAGAGGAGGGAGAGGAGGAAAAGAGAGAGGAGTTTAGGAGTTTTGTACAGAGAGTCATGACTCTTAGGATACCAAGGGACTTTGGAAGCCAAGTGAATGGCACTTACCTGGGGACACAGGCTGTCAATCTGGGTGGCTGCCATCCTGACTAATTTCACCCCTTCCTCATTGTTCGAGATAGAACAGGCCAAATTGGCAACCTGTGTGGAAGAAGAGCCAAGTGAAAATTGTGTTGAAAGAAAGAGAAAGAAAGGAAGAAGCGAGTTTGTGCTTTTCAGAAAGGTGTTGTTCACTCCCAGCATCCCATCGCTGGTGGAATAAGGCCATTCTTGTTTGCTGAGCCAACAAGTAGAATGCTCCTTATCGAATTCATGCACGTCCACCAGAAGACTAGGGTGCTAATAGGAAGCTACTTTGTCAAATCTTTATGCATACACAAGCAGAGTTTTGAAATGAGGTACCTTGGCCATTTCTCTCCTCTGGCTTCCCTGATTTGTGCTCCCTTTCTCCTGAGCCCCAAAGACCCATCATTCAGTGAGGGATACTATGCTCTCGGATGCAACCCTCCTTGACTCTTTCCAGTGAGAGAAATACTATATTAATGTTTTGCATTGAAAATACTTACCATATGATGAATTAAAGCTCTCTACAAATGAAATCTACATCTGTTTAAAGTCACCCGTAGACATTCACCCAGTGCAATGCCCTTGTGAGTGGATAAGAGTGGCGTGTAGAAAGACCGTGTGACCGTGTGACTGGTGGAGTACATCGAAAACTACATGCCCCAACTCTATCATAAACGTATCCATAGTTGCTTTACCAACAACATTAAACAAACCAAAACAGCTAAAATATAAAACAACAACAACAAAAAAAAAAAAAACTTTTTCAACTTCCCAGAAAAAGCAGCCCTATTTAGGTTATTTTTTTCTCATCAAGGAGTGAGACTTGGTAATACAAGGTCCGATTGATTGACTAAGGTCAACAGTACACAAAGTTGCCAGTAAAGCTCTGATCCATCCCATCAGGCTGCTGTCAAGAAGTCAGGAGATTGAGGATTAGAGAGGCCATAAGGGAGGAGATGGGCAGTGAGGCCTCTGAGCAGTAAAGCCGAACAAGTGACCCACAGAGGGACAGTCCCTGGCACCTCTGGGTCACATGCATTTGGTACTCAGGGGGTCACTGGTTTCTAAAACTCAAAGAAATGAAAATGAACCGCACATCTGCATAATTCCTATGGTGAAGGAACCCTGAGGGGGGTAGGTAGTATGCGGAGCCGGATCCAACCCAGAGAGGCTTGAGCCTCTAACCAGCTATGTGAGCTCTCTGCAGGAAGAGGGATGTTTCCTTAACAGTAACTGGGGACACGTCGATGGTGAAGTAGGAATACTTTCCTAAATGACTTCAACCGCTCCATCAGGGTAAGAATTGCTATTGAAGACTGCTAAGGAAGATGGGGCATACTTTATGTCTATCACAGTGAGAATAGAAGCTGCCGAAATTACAGCTCCAATGAGGTATAAGTATTGTCTACTAGTTTCTTGTCACCCATATTTAATTTTTTTTTTTGATGACCTTCCCTATTACACATAGGTTTTAAAAATAAGTCTGAGGACGGGTGTTGGTGGCGCATGCCTTTAGTCCCAGCACTCGGGAGGCGGAGGCAGGCAGATCTCTGTGAGTTCTAGGCCAGCCTGGTCTACAGAGCTAAGTTCCAGGACAGGCTCAACACAATACAGAGAAACCCTGTCTGGGGGGGGGGGGAGTACACTCTGAGGAAAGACAATGGAGCCTCATACTCACAGTAAAGGGCACTAAATGCCAATGGGCACATAACTTTTAAGAAATGACACAGCCACTAACACTGACATTTCCAATTTTCAGTTTCTATTCTGCATTTTGGTAAGTATTGTTATATCTATATGCCTTTCAGGGATGTGTTTCTCTTTGAATCGTGAGTATCACATCTGTGTGTGCGTGTGTGCACATGAATGTCTGTACATGCAGAAACCACAGGTATTAGATCCACCCTGTGGCTGGAGTTACAGGCAGTTCCTAACACCCTCATGAGTTCTGGAAAACAAACTTGGATTCTCACAAAGAGCAGTACAAGTTCGTACAGGCTAAACCATGTCTCCAGCATTCGGAATTTTCTGTAGGTTAATTCACTGTACATTTCCAATGACTCAGTACCCAATACAGGTCTTCCATATGTGTTGACTGAATCATTAAAGAGTAGTAACTGTTAACACCAGTGTGTAGAAGTTGCTGTGTACAATGATTTGGAATATGATTTCCATGGGAGGTACTAAGAATTGAGTTATGACAGTTTGACTAAGCACGTTTCCACCATGCCTTCTAACCAGTGTTTACCTACTCGATGACATTAAACAATAGCTGCTGCATTCTGCTTCTAGATGGAACCCTGAATTCAGGTCTCCTTGAATGCATCCCTCCTTGTTCATGGTAGTACAAGAAAAATCAGAATAGCGTGGGCAATTTTTCAGAAACATATTTATTTAAATTTGGTCTTTTAATCTTCAATTGAACTCTTCCTATACTGATGTAGAACAACTCTTTATACCATGACATGCTGGCTTTATGTGATAGCCTGATTGTTCTGTACCATCTTTCTTTGGTATGTGAGATAGACTTACTTAATGTCACATCCTTTAAAAGACCGGGCAGTTAAAGTGTGCTGTATGACACCAACATGAAAAATTAAAGTACTCCTGAAACCAAGGCTGCATTAATATTCTCCCGCATCTCTTAAAAAAGAAGCAGTCAATGAAATGATAGTTCTGAAAAGGGAGAAGGAAACAAAAACCATATGGTGTTTCTCATGGAAGGGCCTGGTGAGAGCTGGTGTTGATTGTCACCTGGGCAGGATCTTGTATCACCTAGGAAACAAGCCTCCAGGCCCATCTGGGAAGGATTACTGGGATTGGGACAGCCTCTGCACATGCCTGTGAGGAATTATCTAGATTAGTTTAACTGAAGCAGAAAACCTGGCTCTAAGTACAGGTGGCACCATTTCCTGCGGTCTTCCAGGAGATTCTGAGAAAATTAGCTGAGCACAGGCATTCAGTGTCCACTGTTTTCTGACTGTGGTTACAATGTGAGCAGCTGCCTTAAGCGGATGTCAACTTGACGTTCCTGCCTCTGTAGACCACATCCTGGAATTGTGAGCCAAATAAATCCATTCTCCCTTAAGTTACATTTACCAACATATTTTTAGCAGCAGCACTATCCATGAAATATTTTTCCTCACCAAAAAAAAAAAAAAAAAAAATCTAAAACTGATCAGCTTGTATAATTAACTCAAATTTAACAGAAAATACAAAAGGTAAAAGTAAGTGTAGAACAGAACATCAAGACATCAAGAACATGAAAGTCCTGGTGGTAAAAAATAAAGGCCGTAACACCTTGTTCATATCCTGAATAAAATAAGCTACAAGTATATGCTAATGTGTAAATCAATAAGTGTAAGAATCAAAGTATATTTATAAAGCCAAAGAAACTTAAATGTTGGTTAAATAGGTGTTGCTATTATAGAATTATTCATATTAAAGAAGCATGATGAAGGTGTATTGATTACTTTAAAAGAGATTGGGGCTGGGGGGATGGCTCAGCATTTATGAGTGCATACAGCTCTTCCAGAGGACATGGTTTCAGTTCCTAGAACCTTTATCCAGAAATTTACAATCTCCCGTAACTACAGCTCCAGGGGGAGCCTTCTTCTGGCCTCTAACAGTACCCTGCACTGGGGTGCAGATACCTCACCCTATACACACACATTGTTATAATTTTTTAACTTAAAGAGATAAACCAAAATGTTGATGAAAATAATAAAACGGCTGACATTTACTTGCAAGTATATTAATTTGGAGAAATAGGTGGAGGTATAAGACAAACAAGGCTTGCCAGATGTTCAGAACTGTTCAATCTGTATTATGCTACCTTGAGATATGGTCTAAGAAAAACAAAACAAAACAAATAAAAAGAAAAAAAACTTTACAAGAAAAAGACTTAGCATCTATGTCCCTATGTCCACACCACCAGCTCTGGAAAACCTGTTTTATATCTCAATGGGCTAAACAAAAGCGTAGTATAAACGAAAAAAGCTTGAGTATAGTTGGAGTTGAAGCTTGCACACAAGTGAGCATGCTGGCTGAGCACAGAAGGGTGTCATGTCCAGACCAAAGCTGGCTGTGCTCTCCCTAGTAGAAGCCAGCTTAGAAGGGGAGAGGAAGGATACAGGGCTGAGAACAACTGGACTCTTTCACAAGGAAGACTGCCAAACTGTAAAATCCAGGAGGTGACGAGCTTTTCTTCTGGTATCTTTTTGGTTTCTTGCCCTTTGTTTAAACAAAATCCATTGTAACTTCACTCTAAAGTAGAACTCACCAGCTAACAGAACCCAGCAGGAGGGACAGAGCTGCCAACAGTGGGCAGAAACAGACAGCTGGCACCCTCCACTGTCCTCCGATTATTTATTCTCTTTAATTTCCACAGATGCACAAATCCTAATGGCTGGCAGCCTCTTCTCTGCAAAGTACTCCTACATTTAGTTGTACTTAAAATCAGAATTCCATTTACCTTCTATTGTATTCGGAAACATGCTGAGCGAATTCCGGATCGCACATTAAGGACTTCAGTATCTATCTCAGAAGACAGGGTGTGGGTTTGGAACTGGCCATGGATGCCATCCAAATCTCTGCCTTCCTTGTTCCATTATGGCTTTCATTCCTCTGCTTCTCCCACAAGCCACTGCCTCAATCATAGCTCTGAACAGATTTTCATGAGTTTTGATTTTTACAGCTCTGTCAACAGATGACCCCATGGCTTAATCTTCCAGGGAGCTTTCATGAATAATACAGCTTCAACTGACTAACACTTCCCCACCACCCTAAGGATCCTGCAAACAGCAAATGCCTCATAAATGGTCTTGATCATCTATTCTTTAACTGCAACTCAAATGAAATCTGAATCTCCTCAACTGAGCAAAATACTCTATTTTTGGAAGCATGACTTGTCTCTGTGGTCATTTTAGTACAATGGGACTGGGAATGAATGGAAAACTAATGTCATTAGACGTTAGAAAAAAATAAACAAACACAGACAATAGACCATGATAGAACATATAGACTGCAGCCCCACAGACATTATGTAGTCTGACTAAATTTGAGACAATTTTGAA